AGTCGTAGTCGTAGTAGTAGTAGTAGTAGTAGTAGTAGTAGTAGTAGTAGTAATTATAGTAATCGTAACAGTAGTGGTCGTAGTAGTGGTAGTAATAGTAATAGTAGTAGTAGTAGTAGTAGTAGTAGTAGTAGTAGTAGTAGTAGTAGTCGTAGTAGTAGTAGTAGTAGTAGTCGTAGTAGTAGTAGTAGTAGTAGTAGTAGTAGTAGTAGTAGTAGTAGTAGTAGTAGTCGTGCTGTAGAAGTGCCATAGGATTACTACCCTACGATTGCAGTAGCAATAGTAGGGCTGACGCTCAGGCTAGGCTTTGGCTTTGGCTGAGGCTTAGGCTAGGCAAGGCTTAGGCTGAGGCTTCTGTTAGGCTGAAGCTGAGATCTCGACTGATGCTGGGGCTTAGGCTAGGTCGAGGCTTACGCCGAGGCTTAGGCTGAGGTTTGGGCGAGGTTCAGGCTAGGATTTTGCTGAAGTGTAGGATAGGGTGAGGCTTAGGCCGCGCTTAGGCTAGGCTAGGCTGAGGCGTAGGGTCGGCTCAGGCTGAGGCTTAGGCTAGGCAGGGGCTGGTGCTTAGGCGTAGGCTGATGCTGAGGCCAGGTTTAGGTAATGCTCGGGCTGAAGCTTAGGCTGAGGCTGAGGCTTAGGCCAGGCTTCGGCTAGGTTGAGGCAGAGGCTGAGGCTAGCCCGAGGCTGGGGCTGAGGCTTAGGCGTAGGCGCGGCTTAGGGTTACTTTAGGCTGGATCGTAAGCTCGTTTTTTGGGGGGTCGGAAGCAGCCCGCGCATCAACCAGCAAGTGTCCGGCACGAACCACCAGAAGGACAACAAAAAAACAAATAGTGAAAATCGCAGGGGGGCGATTCGCCCCCGGTGGAGCTCCCCATGGGGCCACGAAACGTGCGAGGGGTGTGCCGAACTCGTAGCCTTCCGTGGAGCTCCCTCTGGGGCCACGAAGCATATGAAGAGTGTGCCAAAGTGATGGAGAGGGGGCGGCATGCGAACTCTGCCACTGGGGCCTTACGTGGAACTTCACATGGGGCCACAAAGCGCGTGAGGGGTGTGCCAACGTGGAGGGGGGGGGCGGCACGCGAACCATGCCCCTTGTGGCCTTCGGTGGAGCTCCCTTTGGGCCCACGAAGCGTGCGAGGGGTGTGCCAACGTAGAGGGGGGCCGCCATGGGAACCCTGCCACTGGGGCCTTCTGCAGGGCTTCCTATGGGCCCACGAAGCGTGTGAGGGGCGTGCCAAAGCGGAGAGGGGCGGCATGCGAACCCTGTCACTGGGGCCTTACGTCGAGCTTCCTTTGGGGTCACGAACCTTGCGAGGGGTGTGCCAAAGTGAGGGGGGGGGGCGGCATGCGAACGCAGACACTGATGACGATATGATGATGATGATGATGATGATGATGATGATGATGATGATGATGATGATGATGATGATGATGACGATGACGATGATGATGATGAGGCTGCTGCTGCTGCTGATGATAATGATGATGATGATGATGATGATGATGATGATGATGATGTGATGATGATGCGAATGATAATGAGGATGAGGGGGAGGATGAGGATGAGGATGCTGATGAGGATGATGATGCTAATGATGGTGATGACGATGATGATGCTGATGATGATGTTGATAATGCTGCTGATGATGATGATGCTGAGGATCATGATGAGGATGATGATGATGATGATGATGATGATGATGATGATGATACTGATGATACTGATGACGATGATGATGACGATGACGATGATGATGATGCTGATGCTGATGCTGATGCTGCTGATGATGATGCTTACGATGACGACGAGGATGAGGATAATTATGATGATGAGAATGATGAGGATGACAACACAAAAGAAAACTTTCTGAGGAGGGGGGTCCAGAGGTAACGCCCCCTTACCCTTCTAACCCCACCAAAAACACACACACACACACACACGCACGCACGCACGCACGCACGCACGCACGCACGCACGCACCCACGCGCCCACGCACCCACGCACCCACGCACCCACACACCCACACACCCACACACCCACACACACCCACACACCCACACACCCACACACCCACACACCCACACACACACACACCCACACACCCACACATCCACACACCCACACACCCACACACCCACACACCCACACACCCACACACCCACACACCCACACACCCACACACCCACACACCCACACACCCACACACCCACACACCCACACACACACCACACACCCACACACCCACACACCCACACACCCACACACACACACACACACACACCACACCGCACCACACCATGCCACGCCACGCCACACCACACCACACCACACCACCCCACACCACAACACAACACACCACAACACAACACAACACAACACAAGACAAGGCAAGACATCACAACACAACACAACACAAGACAACACAAGACAAGATAAGACAAGACAACACAACACAACTGAACATAACATAACAGAACAGAGCACAAGACAACACAACCCACACCAACACACACACACACACCAACACACACACACACCCACACACCCACCCACCCACCCACACATACACACACACACACACGCACGCACGCACACACACACACACACACACACTTACGGGGGGGGGGTGCAAAACTCTCCACCAACCCCGCCTCTCCCCCAACCAAAACAGCTTAGGGGCTGGTGGGTCCAGGGGGGAGCCCCCCAGACCCCCCCCTAGCCCCTAGAGAACTCCTCTGAGAGGGGACTCTGTGGGGAAACCCCGTTGCCCTAATCCCTGTAGCCCCCCCAAAAAACCTCATCTGAGGGGCGGTTCTGCACGGGGGGGGAACCTCCCAAACCGCCTCTCACCCATCAGAAGTCCTCCTGATGGAGTGTTCTGAAAAACAGAACCTCTCCAACTCCTAGCCTCCTAACCCCCCCTGAAGGGGGGTCCGGGTGGAAAACCCTTCCAGGGGGGAAAACCTCACTCCGATTTAATAACACCAAAAACCTCCTTGAGAGAGTTCCTGGGGGAAAACCCTTTAACCTCCAAAACCTTCCAAGAGCACCCTCGAGCGGGGGGGATCCGGGAGGACAACCCCTCCCCCTAACTCCACAATAACTCTTTTTTGAGGGGGGTCCGGGGGGAAAACCCCCTGGCCCCCACCCCCACCCCCCCCTGAGGGAGAGTTCTGGTGGACTGAAATTCTAACCCGCCCTGAAAACGCCCCTGATGGGGGCGTTAAGGAGGGGTTATCCAGAAATGGTTCTGGGAACTGCCACGCCCAACTGCCCGGGGCTATCAAACATTGATCGGTGGTTTCGCGAGAACTGGATGTGTTGAAACCATCTAGTGAGGTGAGAACCCAGTGGAACTCAGAGCTTCAGCGAAACTGGGACAAGACCACGGCAGCACAAGGGAGACGCACAGGCAGGGCACCCGATGTTGACCGTGCACCCTGCGGTGGGATCTTTCTGCACGGACGGGCTGCAATATGCCCCAGACCATGTCCACCGACCCGCAAGAATATCTAGCGTTTGTATGCACTGGGGCCATGAAAACAATCACGGGGCGACGAGAACTGTACATATCCAACGCTCCTGGGTCCAGGATGGGCCTGGTCAGCGGTGGTGGATGTGTGTAGACCTCGCCGCCTTAAGTGAGGCACTGGAGGCACCGCGCCTCTCGCGCCCCACGCTGTCGCGAACCAAGCTGCCACACCTCTGGCGAACTCAGCTGCTCTTCTGCCACCTGGGCACCCAGAACTCCAGACCCCATCCCCTGGACCGGTGCTCCATCGAGGGCCGTTCCTTGATGGCCCCAGAGGCCCGCGGACGGCCCAAGAGAAGTATGGCGAGACTGCGGAAGAACGGCCTCTGCGAGCTCTGAAAGCGCCCGAAAAAGTCCCTGGATGCCTCCAATTACCAGCCTGGAACATATCCCTATCCCTATGCTGGGCATCGCCCCATCACGATGCCAATCTTAGGAATTCCCTGTCTTTGAGGGCGCATCCCTAAGATTGCCATCGCCTTTCGGCGTGTCAATCGTAGGGATAGGGATAGGTTCGAGGCTGGTGATCCAAGGTGTGCCTGGAGGCCTCCAGAGCCCACCAGACCGGAGGCCTCCCACCCGAAGCTCGGGCCCGAAGCGGGCCACGAGCAAAAAAGCACAAAACCATGAGTGCAACTGTGGATGCGCAGGCAAGCTACGTGGTGCAATCCATGCGGTGCAACCTTGGTGCCAGCTATGTGGTGCCAGCTATGTGGTGCAAGCCGTGTGGTGCCAGCCGCTTGGTGTAAGCTGTGTCGTGATGCTCTAAGGTGCAAGCGAGGTGGTGGAAAGCGTGGCGGTGCAAGCTGTGTGGAGTAGGCTGTGTGGTAAAAGCTACGCTGTTCAAGCTGTGCGGCCGCCCAGCGCACGAGGCGCTCGCGCCCACGGGGCGGGGACCAGGCGAAACCTCAGCCGACGCGCCCGGCCCACGAGTCGCCCACGGGGCGCCCCCGAGGCGCCCACGGGCGGCCACCGGGCGAAACCTCGGGCACGAGCCGATACCTCGGCTGGCCCATGCAGCACACGAGGCGCTTGCGGGGCGCCCACGGGCGGGGCCTCCAGGCGGAACCTCGGCGGGCCTGCCCAGCGCGCGAGGCCTCCAAGGAGGCGCCCACGAGGCGCCCACCAGCGCTCACAGGGCGGGCACCGAGGCGAAACCTCCGCAGAGCCGCCCCGCGCGCGAGGCGCCCACCAGGCGCGCCCACGGGCGGGCACCAGGCGAAACATCGGCCGACCTGCCACGCGCACGAAGGCGCCCGCGGGGCGCCCACAGGGCGCCCATCAGCCGGGCACCAGGCGAAACCTCGGCCGGCCCCTCCGCTCCCCTCGCGTAGCCAAGGCAGGGACCCCATCAGTGCCAGCGCTTCCTGGGCCTGCTCGCGCTCGCCTGCCGAGGCGGCCGCGATCCACCGCGGGAGGGGCTCGGCGCGCAGGGCGGCGGCACGGCAGCGGCCAAGAGGCGGCGGCCTGTAGACGGGGACGTCGTGCAGCGCCTGGTACTCGGGGGGCGCGGCCTCGAAGCCGCAGACGGTGAGCAGGAACCTGGCTCCGGCAGCTGAACACCACGCGAAGGGGGGTGCTGCGAACAGGATGCGATCTTCTGCCCTCCTCCATCCTCCTCCTCCCTCACCCGTCTCCTCCTCCTCCTCCTCCTCCTCCTCCTCCTCCTCCTCCTCCTCCTCATCGGCAGGCTCTCGCACGAGGACGGCAGAAGGGCCAACCGATCGGTCGGCATCGGATCGGGAGAACAGACCTGCCCGGCGTGTGCGCCAGCTTGGGCCCCGTCGGCACGGAGCCGACATGCATCGAGGCGTGCTGGCCGCGCCAGGAGGCACGACGGCGCCACTGCGAACGTCGGGCGGCGCCGGATCGTGGGAAAGGCCGCGGCTGAAGGACGGAATCGTTGCATAAACACACAGTGAAGCCCTGAACCCCAAAACGTTTCCATCTCTTGGGAGGCGCTTGATCACTTCCGCTGCCCCGCCGAGCTTCCGCCGGCCTCCGACGGCGGAGGCGGCGTCGTTTCACTTCCGCCGACCTTCCCCCGCGGAAGAGATGACAACTCCTTGTATCCTCGCAGGCAAGGCCCTCTTTGGAACGCCCCACTCTTTGGAACGCCCCATATAAAAACTGTCGCGGGTTCGCGCGGGCTTCTGGGATCGGCGCTGGAACCCCCCTAGCGGCGCCTCTGGCGCCGCGCCCGGCGCGCTCCGCGCGCCAGCGAGGAGGGTCCACCGCCGACCCAAGAAAACCGCGCACCTCCGAAAAGTTGCGTTTGTACCGCTTTGTCTTCTCCGAGTGGTCGTCGACGTCGTCGGCGGTGATGGCGGTGAAGACGGCGACGTCGTTTGGGATATTTCCTCTGGCTAAACAATCGCGTTTCACTACTCGCACAAGTAACTACTCGCAGATGGCCTGGATCCGCCGCGGGGAATGTACGATCCATTGCGTCGGGGCAAACGTGTTTTTTGACGTTTGCGAGTGGACACTTTGCGAGTAGTGGAGCGCGGTCGGTGGATGGCGCTTCTTGAACTGATCTGCTGTTCCCAGGAGAGGGGGCATGTTACCCAGCCGGGCAGCGGCGGACGGACCATCCGCCGCAGCTGCGGCGGATGGACCCTGCTGGTATGCAGGCGGCGGATGGACCCTGCAGGGTAACGGTACAAAGGCAGCGGCATGCCATGCCACATATGCTGGGCCCTGCCCGTGCCTCGACGCGGCGCGCGGCAGCGAGCCGGATCCTGGCCGTGTCACGCTCGCCTGCGAGCGCGCAGCGCGGTGCCAGAGCGCCGGCAAGCACCGTGGATTCCCTGCAGGACCGCAGAGGGGGCTGCAAGGCCATCCCCGCGGGCGGTTCCCGGGCGTCGACTTTGTGGGGTGGGGTACGGGGTGGGCGTGGGGGACACATGCGACGCGTGCGTCATGCCCGGGCGCGGCAAGGACAACCACCCTGGCGGCCCTCGGAAAACTGGCCAGGAGGACTGCGCGTGGACCTCTCTCTCTCTCTCTCTCTCTCTCTCTCTCTCTCTCTCTCTCTCTCTCTCTCTCTCTCTCTCTCTCTCTCTCTCTCTCTCTCTCTCTCTCTCTCTCTATATATATATATACAAGACTGCATTGGCGCTGCGCGCCAAGCACCTTGGTCCTGTAGAGTTTCGCACGTTAGCGGAGTGCGCGCGTGCGTGCACGCGCGCGCACATGCGACGATGGAAGCAGACTGCATGTGTAATATAATTATACGTATGTATTGGTATGCACATGTATATGTAAATGGTATGTGTAACTATGTGTGCGCATACGCACGCGCATTTCAGGCGGTAGTGGCCTGACCAGCTGCTCCGGGCATCACACAACTCAAAGGTGCGAAGGTCTCAGGCAAAAGTGGCCAGACTACCATGGTCCTTGGAATTGAGCAAGCAGGCGGGATGCCAGATATGTGCATAGTTAAAGAAAGCGATAACGCCTTGTTGCCGTTTTCGTCGTTGTCGATCTGACAATGTCTTCCATTCCCTATCCTTTCCCTCCCTCATCCTTCATCATCCTTCATTTCCCGCTCCTTCGCCGCCAACCCGATTATGTAGCGTTTTGGGGCCTCTTGTGAATCTTCTTGGGGCCCTTTTGAATCCCTTCCCTGTTGGGGTTCTCCTGGGTCGTCTTGGAGCCCTTTTGGGCCGTCGTGGGGCGTCTTGGAAGCCTTTGGCCGTCGTGGGGCTCTCCTGGCGGCGTCTTGGGGCCCTCTTGGGTGCCTCTTTGGGCGCTCTTGGGGCTCTCTTGGGCCCGTCTTGGAGCCCTCTTGGGCTGTCTTGGGGCTCTCTTGGATCATTTTCGGGCTCTTTGGGGGGCCTCTTGGGCTATCATGGGGCGATCTTTGGAGCCTCTTGGACCGGTTCGGGCTGATGTTGGCCCGAAAAAGGGAGAGCCAGGAAAACCTCTGAACACCATACAAAAATTAATGACATTTCCCTCTTGGGTCCCTCTTGGGAAGCCTCTTGGAGGCCTCTTGGGGCGTCTCGGGGCCCCCTTGGACGGTCTTGGGCGGTCTTGGGGTTTTTTGGAGCGCTCTTGGGCTGTCTTGGAGCGCTCGTGGACCCCTCTTGGGAGTATCTCGGGGCGGCTGGGGCGCCGCTGGGACCGCCCGAAAATCTCGGGAAGCCCGAAACTCGCTTTGGGGGGGGGTTCCGTCCGGGGTCTGTCCGGGGTCCCGGGCCCTATAAATCTATATATATATATATATATATATATATATATATATATATATAATCGACCCCAATGCAAGCTTGGAGGAATAATGACCCCCCCGCCCCCCCATATCAATGTGGAACTCGGTATGGGTGGTGATTTGGGGGTTCCAACAGTTTTGCCCACTCAAACCCCCTTGCTTGCCACACCCTCAGTGTGAAGTTGGGCGTCTGGGGGGGCATCATGCGCAGCAAGGTTCGGATATTTTGTCCATGTGCGGGAGCTCTGGGAGGAGTCGGAGAACAGGTTCTGAGCGGATCTTGGCCCAGGGGGGGAGCGCGCGATCCCCAGTGGACGGCCTGAAGGATCACGACGAGCGCTGCTCACTGCTTTGGGCCTCTGGAAGCCATTTCATGGCCGGGGCCTCCAGAGAACGACCAGCGACGCAGAGCTGGTCTTGGGGATGGGGTCGTGGACGCCGAGTGCCACCCTGCTGCCTCGGCTTATGCCCATGCGCACTGCCTTGCGCGTCCCGTTTGCCACAAGAAGCGTTTGCGAGGAACTGGGCAGGACGAGATCAAAGAGCAATCTTCCGCTCCTCCTCATCCCCCTCCTTCTCAATGAGAGGAAGGGAGCTCTGGGAGGCCCGCGTCGTGAAGAAGCGGATCGACGACGAAGCAGAGAAGCGTGAGCCACGATCGGCGGCCGGCGGGAGGGGATCAGGCGTCAGGCGATGGATCGGATGCGTCCAACAGGGGGGTGCTGGCAAGTCATGGCCCGATGCATGTGCGCGGCCTGGGGGGGGGGGGGCAATGGACTTCTTGAGAGAAGAATAATGGGGCCACGAAATCCTGGGAGGTACCATGGCCCTGGTCGCGATATGCACCCCACCCCTAGTCATCTCTCCCCCCTTGGCCGCCCCCGAGTGAAGCGCGGCCTCCTTCAAATGTAAAGATCACCTTAGACGGGGTTGAGGACTTCTGAGAAGCCCTCCTGCCCGCTGAGAAGATCGCACCTCTTGTCCCAGCCACGGGCCCCAAAGACTTTTTTTTCGTCGCCACGGCCATGGGATCTCGACCCATCGCGGCCGCAGGGCGAGTCTGAAGGTCGCCAGGCAAGCCTGGACCGCTACGCGAGCCGACCTGCAGCAGGCAAGCTCATGCAGCGACCCGTGGCCCGAGTGGGCAAAACGGCTGTGCAGTAAACCCATGGAGGAGGAGGAGGAGGAGGAGGAGGAGGAGGAGGAGGAGGAGGAGGAGGAGGAAGAGGAGGAGGAGGACGAAAAGGCGGAGGCGAGGCGGCGGAGGAAGAGGAGGAGGATCTAGCATGTATACGGCACTACGACAGATTCAGGAGCCAGCTAACCAACTCGAGCGAGTATGCACTATACCGACCCCCAGGCCGTCCCTGGGCGATTCGTCAACACGACCGGAGCCGCTCGCCGGAGGAGCAGGAGGAGGGAGGAGGGAGGAGGGAGGAGGAGGGAGGAGGAGGAGGAGGAGGAGGAAGAGGAAAATGAGGAGGAGGAGGAGGACGAGGAGGAGGAGGAGGAGGGAGGAGGAGGAGGAGGAGGAGGAGGAGGAGGAGGAGGGAGGAGGAGGAGGAGGAGGAGGAGGGAGGAGGAGGAGGAGGAGGAGGGAGGAGGAGGAGGAGGGAGAGCCGCCGACCCCAAAGGCTGGCCCCGGGACTCCGCCGCAGAGATCCGCCCTGGCCAGCTCTCCGAGCTGCGCACCCAAAGCCGAGGGCACGGGGGCACCCACACGGGAGCCCCCTCGAAGAAGGGATCGGGACGCCCTCGTCTCGCGGCCCCCGCGCGCCGCCGACCACCTCGGCTCGGTGCCCGAGCCCGGGGGAGAAGCGAGAAAGGGCGGGCATTCCCAGAAGCCTCGGAAGTCCCCCGGCCTTCCGAGAAGTGCTCTAAGCCCTCCCCGGAGACGCAGAGAGCGTCGCAGAAGGCGCGAGGGCCTCCGAGAAGCCACGCCGCCCTCCGAGAGGGCCTTCTCCTTCTCGTTTCCCCCTCGCTCGCCGTCGATTGACCTAGTTACCAGTCGGTCGCCGAGGAAGAGGTCGAGGAGGTCCAGCAGGAGGAGGAGGAGGAGGAGGAGGAGGAGGAGGAGGACGACGACGAGGAGGAGGCCTCGCGGCTCAGGAGGCCCGTCCCGCGGCAGGATGACTTGCAGTCGCTCGGACGTCCTTTGCACCTGCATTTGTCGGCTTCGTGCGTGCTTTCTTGTTGTTCGATGGTCGAGGATGCTCCTTGATGGTCCTCGCCGAAAAAGCACACGTCCGAGCGAGGAGGTGGCAGGGGGACAGAGGAGGACGGAGGAGGAGAGAAGATGATGCTGATGATGCTGATGACGATGATG